TAACAACTATAATTAGAAAATAATTGTCGTATTTGAGCATTCAACTGTATGCCAAATGTATCCATGGTTACCACTCACTTAGATATATATTCTAATTAATTTCCTTATGGCATAAGTGGCAACAAGATGGACTGATATTATGACAGTGGTTAATATTTTGGTTTTCTTAGTCTTTATTAAATTAAAAGTATCTGAAAATCTCAAATTTTCCATAGCAACCAAGACATATATCAACCCAATTTTGCTTGGTATGCTTATGGTGTCTAACTATGGCAATGAGCAAAGTTTCATCAAAATCGGTGTCCATGTCTGCCAAAAAGTTAAAGTGGTAACAGAGAATTGCTGTATAACAATTTAATTTATGATTTCACCTTCCCTGTGATGTTTTCAAATCGACTTGACTTTAACAAGCTTGGACTTTACTACATCTAAATGGAAGAAACCTGGTGATTTATATATATTGGAACCTGGAGTCAGAGCAATGTATTAGGTTTGCCGCAATGATTAACGATAATTTGATTAAATGGAACTGGTCTCTCATTCATGCCACCGTGCCGACAATCGCAGTCGTTTTGTTATACTTTTGTTTCGGTTTCATGGGAAATGCAGTCCTTCTAATGGTCTACATAAAGAAGAAAATATCTGGGAGAGGCCGCTATTTTATCCCAGTTCTAGCCTCCGTAGATTTATTGGCTAGTACCTTATGTTCACTTTGTGTTGTATTGAACTTTTATTTTCTAGTACTTTTCTACTCTGATTTGTTGTGCAAGTTTTTATATTTTAGCATTTTTTGGATTCTAAATACTTCTATTTTTTTGGTTCTGGCGATTTCATTTGACAGACATCGTAAAACGTGTCAGATAAGAAAGAAACAGTTGACAGACAGACAGAAGAGGAAACTCATAATTTTGATCGTAATATCGTCCGCCACATTGAATTTGCCGACGTTTGCAACCTGTGGAAGTCAAACAGTGCCAATGACCATTGATAACGAAACACTTCAAGGAGCTTTCTGTGCCATTGCAACTAAAAGGTATCCAAATATTGAACACGTTTATTCCATTGTCGTAGGATTGGCTATCCTAGGAGCTTTTACGTGCGCTATGGTCTTGAACATAAAGATTGCATATGTCATCCGTACTAGACTCCGAAAAGTTACGGCTCCTTTCTTAGAAAACAATAAACAGAAACCTGAAGACTTATTGGAGAACTTGACTACAAAGGAAGATTATAAAGTAAAACCTCTCACAAGGAAAGAAAAACTTAATGATATGCACGCTTCACAACTGAATAACCAATTTGGTTCTTTGAACAAGACTTCTAAAACTCTAGATAGAAGTATTGAAAATGACAATGCAATGCGAGAAAAAAGTGACTAAAAGAAAATGTCTGAATTTCATTCCATTAATATTACAAGCAAGGAACTCCCAGATTCATCAAAATCTCGAACGGGAAATGAAAGTCTCTTAACGCCCATTTTGATTAGAACAACACTCAGAAAATCTCGATTTTCTACTCATGTGATGTTTTTAACAATGTTTGTAATTTTGCTTGTATCGTATCTACCGCCTCTCACGATTGTGCTTATATTGTATAACAGTCCTCAAAATTTTCAATGGTTGACGGAACAGAGTGCATTCAAAATTGATTTGTACTTTATTCTCAGGACATCATATCTCTTAAGTCACGCTGCGAATCCTTATATTAATTGTCTTTTTGATAGAGCATTTCGAAATATTCTGATAAATTCATTCAAATGTACTTAACGTAAAGAGGTAACATATTATATAATTGAAGGGTGGAAGTAAAAATCTAAATCGAAGGCCATACATTTACTTTCCCACAGCAAGGCTGGTATAGTTCGAATTTATTCCGCCTTAATCATAATTATATGATGCAGTTGTGTAACTGGTAATAAATATATCTAGCTTACATAAGTGATACTCAATAGTTTTCGAGATTTATTTCTCTAGTAGGATTTTTTTTCTCTTTTAACTTTTCTTTTCGCTGAATTACATGTGGTCCCTTGTGTCATTGTTCGTGTGTGTTTAATGTTAAATACTACTCTTATGTTATAATTTATATGCAGTCTGAGAATTAAAAGAATATTATCTGTTTTACTGAATGTAACATATACTGACTTTAAAAAATGTGACATGAAACATTTTCATGATAGTAAGAGAGAAGTAAGATATTCATTTTATTTTATTAATTTTGTTAAATTATTCTTTAATAAAGTTTGGTTTAATAAGTCAATTATCTCCAATGGGGGAATTGAACAATTGTTGCCCAAAGTAAGACTCTACATTTCTTATCCTTTGACATTGTTGAGAAGACAATGACTCAGGGTCAGGGCACATTTCAGATTTGTGCATTCTTCTGGAATAAAATTATAGCACTTATTATATTGAAAGAAAAATCTTTTGTCCTGTAACTTTGAGCGTATACATTCTTTGTATTAAAGTTACATCATATGAAATCATGTTAAACTTACCTTTATGTGATTTTGCCATTATGCATATGGTCAAAACCAGGGCACACTTTCGGGTTGTGAACAACCTTCTTACGACGTACAATGTATGTCTCTCATGTTCATTATGAAAAATTATAGTCCGATAGAATTACTGATAGGCATTGTGAGTCGTATATACCCCATATTCACAAAGTCATGGGTCCTATGTTAATCTTTGTTGTGAGACCCCTGACAAATTTCATTCGATATCTTACGCGTTGACTGCAGCAACGCCTTTCGGGAAAATTATAAATCTCGATTGTTTTTCTTATCTCTCAACCAATCACATAAAGATTGTACATCCCTCTCGAGAATTTTTCACTCATATGGAGAAGCCACCACCTGCCGATGGAGGACTGCAAATTTAGACCTATACCTATACTCTGTCCTCAGGGCCATTGAGCAGTAAGGGGGCTTTTTCGTGCCAACAACTAGTGCGACACGGGACCTCGGTCTCATCCGAAGGGCCGGTCTCCACGTCCCGCAGTGGGATTCGAACCCACGACCTAAGGATCAACTCCTTACACCGCAACACTAGAGCAAACGCTAAAACCACTGCACCACGCGGTTGATAAATTACATTAAGCCTTTCGTGATAAATAATGCATAACACGTGTATTTTAGGTGCCAACTGATTCCTATATATCAACATTATCTGTGTACTTCAATTTGATTGGTGCTTCTCAATGAGAGAAGCAAGCCCGAAAAAAAGAATGAAATATGCCAGAGGACCCACGGCACTGAGTTGACACGGGACCCCTGACGTTGTACATACCCCTTCCAAAATTTGTTTGAAGGGAGGGAAAATCTTTAAACAGGAATTTGAGCCATGAAAACGTCGACATGCATACTTATTCAGCTCACCAATATTTTGTACATATATGAAAAAACATTTGTTTAATTGAAGATTTTCTTTAAACCCACAAAAAGATTTCCAAATGATTTAGCTTATCGAAAATACAGTTTCCTGTAGTATCTTTTAGCGTGTTGTGTAATTGCGACGGCGTGTTGCATTAGCATGACGGTGTGTTGTGACAACACGCGTCGCTTTGTAGCTAACGCCCTGCTGTAGACTTTTGTAAATGACTCTATCGAACCACCATACATACAGCAAGGTCAATTACGCAAGAACAGATTATATAATTTTTGTTTTCATAAGTCATGAAAATAATAAGTGAAGTTATGTTTAAATAAGTGAAATATGAATAAGCTTAATCGAATAAATTTAGATTTTTCAAAATTTCCCAATAATTTCCTAAAAATGATTTTTAAAAAAGTTGCATAGTTTTATAAGGGTGATTTCAAAAAGGTAAAATTTTGAAAATCATATAAGTTTACAAAGTCTTAAAATATGAGAAAATTTATATTTGCTTCATTTACAACCAAAATAGGTCCAAAAAATATATACCAATTCAGGAAACCATTTTTTAAGGGGTGACATTCTAATTCAGAATTGCCAATCGGTTAACCGCAAGACGTTCCGACCGATTAATCAGTTAATCGTTTCAAAAAATTCTTGACATATTTCATTATTGAAAGCTCTACTCAAGTAATAGTAAAAAACTATAAAAATGTTACTGTAGTAACATAATGTTTATTTTTGATCAGAACACTATATATAATTTATTTCAATTTCAAAAGGAAACAAAATTAAGAAACCCATGAAAAATTGCCTAAAGTATCAAATATATTAAACAAATTTTAAAGAGGTGTCATGCAAGTTCATTCTGTATTGTCACCATAATTAAAACATAGTCTGAACTATCGCTTAATTACAGTGATTGTTTAATAATGTAATTGGATAGGTAATTGCAAAAGATAGAAAAGGTGAGGAATACATTATAAACAGTTCACAGTTCTCAACAATCATTTATATAGTTAAAATCATTAAAGAAACACAGGACAGCCTTATTTATTCTCTGAATCAGCTGAAATAGGTAAAAATATATATTTTTTTATTTGTATTTTTTATTTGAATTTTCAGAAAATTGTGTTCAAATTTACACATTTATTATTTCTTCCGATCACCCGATTACAGATTGTCTAACCGATTACCATCGTTCCGACCGAGTAACCGGTTAACCGATTACAAATTGCCATCCCTATTTTTTTGTATCATCTATCCTTAAAACGCTGTTTGAGCCACTGTATTAAAATAGAGTTTGATATGTACGACATAAGAATTGATATTCACCTTGGAAAAAGGGAGACATAAATACAGATTTTATTTACAAATTTACTTCTCAGTTCATTGTCGTACATTCGATTGGATTTCACTGATATCCCTTTGTTCCAAAGCTGCTTATCTTCCAACTGGAACTGAAAAAATTGAAACGCTGACATTTAAAGCACTTAATTCTGTGGACATATGGATGTTCATGAATAAAAGTGTAAAAATCGAAAAATTATGTTTATCTGTGATTAAAGTCTACTTACTAGTAGGTACAGGTACCCGACAAAGACCTTAAAAGCAATTTAATTTGCCTGATTAATATGATATCTTCTCATATTGTATGATATGATCCATCAATTTGCTTTTTAGTCGATAAAATCGTTCTTATGTGTAACAAAATCAGAAAAAATGAATAAATATACTACTTTACCTGTAGACTTTTTTTTTTTTTAAATGTCCTTACTACAAAAAATCAACAATTTTTAAATTGATAATGTATAATAATGAATTCAAACCTGTTGTAGCTTGATTAAGGTGATGATCTTCGAGGCATTTTAAATCCATGTGAGCCATCAACACAGACCTCTGTGGAGCGGACAGAGCAGATGTCCGGGAGAGCAGGGATACAGTAACAGTTGTCCTGTCACAAGTTCCCTGTATTACAGGAGCAAAACACATGTACACCAGGGCAACGTTTTCATAGTCTGTGTAAGCAACTCGTAATGCACCTAGATATATTCATAAAATAATGACTGTAGCAAAAGAAACAAACAAAAAAAAAACAACAAAAAAAGGAACAAATGACGAGACAAGCGAAAAAAAAATGATAGTGATGATCAAAGAGACAAAATATAATTTTATCTTTTTTCAATAAATCGTGCATGTTGCATGCATTCCTTTCGATTCGTCAATTTATATAAAATTAAGTACTTTGTATAAATATATATTTTTCTTTTTTAATCTGATTTTTAGGTTAAGCATGATATCCGTAACATTAATACCTCATGACTTACATGTACCTTCATACATCCCCTCTGACGTCAAGAGGTAACTATGATACATCATTACTTACCTTCATACTTTCCCTCCTTTGATGTTAATATGTATGTTCCTTCATTTCCGCTCAAGAGTCCGGTATTAGGAGAAGTGCAAGACTGTGTGCGAGGACTTGAAAAAAATTGTTAAACTATTGTATGTATTGTATATTTCTTCATTCTCTTTTGCAATTAAGAAGTATGTTCCTAGATTAATTTTTTTTCTGTCTACACATTTAGATACTCATTGGACATGTAAACAGATACATTTTAGAAATAAGATATCATTTCAAACATTAATCGAGAAATAAATACGGATTGGGCACGTAATCAAATCCCTTGAAGCCTGTAGATTTGATAACAAACCAACCCGTATTTACATGTATATCACAATTAGTATTTCAAAATGATACCTTATTACTTATATTTGCAAGTTGTGACTGATTCATTACAATTTAGGTTTAAAGCCATGGAATGAATATTTTTTTCAAACCTCAACGGTATAAATTGAATGTATTGAACACATCGATCAATGTGGAAAAAACGTCGAATTTGTAGTCATGGGATGAACCTGCATGTATTTGAACAGGACTCAAAGAGTATTGCTCAAAAAGTTTAATATATATTTAGGGAAACATTTGCAAACGTATATATGAATGTGTAATATTAATACAGAAAAACTTTAGAAGAAATCCCCGTGAATGACTGCAAATAGAGTATTCGAAAAGAATTCTTTAGAATATGATGCCCGTCTTTCAATGTCGTGCATAATTTAGAATGTCACGGCTAGCATTCAAAATTGATAACATATGGTCCCCAGTTGCATGGATTGATAAGAATGAGAACGAAATGAAAAGGTGTAAACTGTAATTTGCATATCACCTCAGGGACCCATAGGCCTTGACTGTGAATTTTTTATCATGATCGAGGCTATTAACATTTGGTAAATTTCTTCCAATCTGGAACAGCAATTCTGGATTCTAGTGAAATTCATTGTATTTTTCTTTTGATACTGAACTTTTTATCATTATTATTAAAACACATAATGTATGTCTGCTACATGCTTGAGAGTACATTTTTTTTGATTTTTGAAGATACATCAATATGAAATATGCATAGATTAGGCATACTAATAATCATCTAATCGACTTGAGGAATGTGTAGCGTGCTCTTTATGATAGAGCTTTTTCTTTTAATGCTTTTATTTTGCAGCAACCCGTGGCTTGAATCATGGATCCGGAAACATGATTTTCACAATTCATTGTCTGTTAGAATCTTGCAAACATATTGCCTGTATGATGTACAGGAATAAAGAATATTCTTGAAGACTGCAGATAAAAATATTTCATCTGATTGACTTATAGGATCAAATCAATTGTTTTAGACTTATGGAATAAAATAAATTAAAATAATTGAGGATTCTTTTAGCATTCAAATCATTTTCATAGTAGATTTAGTAAAAAATAAGCAAATATAAATACATGTATTGTAAGATATTAAGATATCAAAATATAAAACAAAAAAATGTCCTTTAGTCAAATGTTATAGAATCTTTAAAGAAAGGTCTCAAAAATTTTAATTTATTTCATTTCTAATACAATTTTCTTAAACTTTTTTCTCTCTTCTCGTTTTGAGAAAAATGATATTGTAAAGAGTTTTTGAATATTGCGTTCTACATGTCGTATTCACATGCTTTGAATATTCTACTTTTGAACCATAATATCAGCCATATTTTGAAGGCACAAACATGAGTATAATCTGTAGTGAAAATTGAACATAGTAACTAAACCAGTCGTACTCACGAAAACCCTGTGTAGGCCATATATAGCTGACCATCATTTCCTCGCTTAAAGGCCCATATTTGGGAATGCCAGGTGTTGTCTCCCCATTGAAATGTTGTCCTTTCTAATTCATACCATGTACCAAGAAACTGGATAAAATAAAATAAAAATTAAATTTTTAGAATAATAGTACATCAACGATTTACACCTATGAATAAAATTGCATTAATTTCTAAGTTAGAACTCATAATATCATTATATATATGTTTTGAATTAACTGCAAAGCCGAAAAAAAAAAAATAAAAAATGGGTTCAATCGTGGTTATAAAAGAGCAAGAATTAACAAAAGAAATAGATTTATATTAGGGATGGCAACGAATATCGAACATTCGAATATTCATTCCATGAGTTGATATTCGAATATGAATTTAAGATTCGAATATTCGGTGTTTTTCAGATTTAGTAAAAAGAAGTACTGTGATTAATAAATTTTGATTAGAACAGTGCCGGAATTATCCCTGTTTAATATAGCGATCAATTTCGATCACCTGATTTCTTTCACTACTTTCTTATAGATCTACTAAATTCGTGTATTTTGTTTTGAGTAAGGTGTTAAAGAATTGTACAATAATGCTTTATGTATAATACAAAATATACTTTCATAGTTATTATTAGTTAGATACGATCGGATCTAGAATCGAGGACAACAAAATGAAATCTTAGATTGTCTAATAGGCGTGAGTATACTTATCAAAATAAATTTATTTGATCATTGAATGAATGTCCGATAGAATCAGTCTAATTAACGTTTGTCGCACTGGTCGGCTCCCCAGTTTACCCACAAAAATGTGCATGCGGCCAACATCCACCACTTATGATCAATGTAATAAATGTTTTTTAAACAAATAAATATCTGTTTTTCAGTTATCTCTTGGAATCGGTACTTACTAAGTGATAACCAAATTGCATTTAAAGCTGTTTCGCATGGGGAATTTTGTGATTTTGGTGAATTCAATGATTAATATTGTAAAGGGCTTAATTTCAGAATAAATGTATAAATTACTTGATTATCTCCCGTTGTACATAATCCTGAATTTTATAGTCATCGGGAAATTAGTTAATTAACTAAGAAAATTGTCTATGGAAATAATTGTTTATATTTTAAAAACATTGAACAACGATAATAATCTCTTATTAGGCAGATAATTGTAATTCATTACACATATTGAAATCTGAACAGTATATCGTTACGACTATCTTGCCTTTGGTAAGACGTCTAGTTCCTTAGTTGGAACTACTATATATACAAAAATTATACCATTCTACATTTAAATCAATTATTTATTTCAAACATTGACAAATATCAAATGGAATTTCTTATTATACGCTTACAAAAGTCTTCATACAATTTTACTACCAACATAAGTATACCTACGCAAAACCTTTCATGAGAGTAGGATGATGCAATTTAAACTAAAACAGATTTTATTAATTTAATCGAATATTCAAATAAATTCGAATACTTTCATTGAATATTCGAATATGAATTATTGACATAATTGACAACCCTAATTTATATATAAAAAACTGAACAAGCAAGCAACATACTTACTCCTGTTATATTAAAGTTGTTTACTAAACGCGTTCCATCAAAATCACATATTACTGCTTATAAGACACTGAAGTTAAATAAAAATATAAAAGATAAAATCAATGTCAGGTAACGTTCAAACATGTCAAAAACTAATATCTCGAAAATTCCCAAAGTTTACAAAACTTCTCGTTTGTCTGCGCGCTATCTATTAAGATTATGACTATGAGAACTATGTCTTTATGCGGTTCTTTTGTTAGGTAATGAAATTTACGGCAAGCCAATTGGCTGAAATATATGGAGATAACGAACAGTATTCAAGCTCAAAAGTCCATTAAACATTACAAAATAGGTGCAGAGCAAACACAGACCTCCAAAACATCAGAGGTGGGATCAGGTGCCATGGAGGAGTGAGCATCCTTTGCCGACCGGTCACACCCGCCGTGTGCTCCTTGTCATGATCGGGAAAAACGCAAAAATCCGTCGACAATTCAGTGTGTAAATAATGGCCCAACAAATAGTATGCAAAACGTCAGTCAGCATTTGACTCAATGATAAATTGTATTTGCTGACAAGGTCATTGTATCGACCATAGAACTTACGAAATGATGACTTTAAACTAGACTGTTGATATCCTTGTTTCGTCAACTTGTTTGTTAATAATTTACTTCGTTTTAGAAATTGTACATACGTAGAGCATGCTCTTGCGTATCGAATCAACTGAGAGATATAAACCCCGTATGCAAGTGATGAAGGTATATTGCTGCATAAGTAAGGGAAGCTGACGATTAAAAAGTTAAAGTCATTACGTTTATCATAAAGCTTGGTTTTTAGATTACCATTAACGTCTTTTTCAAGTAAAATATCCAAATATGAAACAGATGTGTCAGAATCTGTGGTATCTTTCATCTCAAGCTCACCGGGATATATCGCATCGACATAAGAATGGAAATAACCATTGTTAATTGACAATACGTCGTCGATATATCTAAATGTCGAGTTGAAGGCATCAAAGAGTTTCTTTTAGACATGAACAACATACAACGTTCGATACGCATGATTCATCTTTTGGAATATGATTGGTGATATCCTGTACATGAACAAAAAGGTTTGGAATTTTCATTTTCATCAGAGAGCCAATTAAATTGCGGCCAAAAAACAACGATTTTGTACAAGAGTGATTTTCTTATTTATGTTTATGCCTCTTCTAAAACAATTTAAGAATAAAAATATATATGTTTGGTAGCTTTTGTACATTTTTCTTTAAATAAAAAAATGATTTCCATTATTTATTAACTATTTTTTGTCTAGATCATTTGATGGTGCTATGATTTTAGTCTAGAGCATTACATTTTAGATTAAGAATATCTTGAAATTTTCAATTGCCTCGGTAAGGTACTTATCAAGGTACGTTGCGGAAGCAGTAAGCAAATCATCTTTTGGAATATGACTGATGGTATTCTGCTTGGTGCAATAAGGTTTAAGAATGTTCATTTTCATCCAGGGGAGCAATTTTGCGTCCAAAAGTGCCACGTGAGCACCCTAACATTTTATGCTTAATTTGATACTTTTATATGTATGCAATTTTTTAATAACTTTTGTTTCTTCTTCGCTAGTTACCAAGATATACGAAGGAGAGTACATTTAGAAACAAACACATATGCAGATAGTACTGTCTTACAACAGCATCTAGTAACTGGGAAATTTTAGATAAAAATATTGTTCTTCAGCCGAGGCTTTGATTTTAACATACATATACGTGTTATTTTATGATTTGCTTTTAAAAGTTACAGAATATTTTTGCATGTGAATTTGATATGCTAGAAAGCTTTCGTTACAATGCATCTCGTGTGCTTTTGTAACCTGGGCACATTGTCACTTAAATCTTTTCCCAGGGAAAATTGAAATAATTTATGGATAGACTATTTGATATTTAAAGTTACAGAATGAGTCAAAATCATGTGTGTTACTTTTAAGATATCTGTATCATAAAGCCAAAGATTTATGAAAATATTGAGTATAGCGAAGACATGACAACTAAACTGCACTACAAAGCAGGAAGAGACTGCACAATATAAGTTGATATCGTCCTTGTCAAGGGCACACGCCACTTTTATTTTTAGCATAAACTTGTAAACAACATTCAATTGGAGCATGCGAAGGTGAGAAATATGTTCTAATAATCTTTTTTGAAGACTTTATCAAAAATCATGGTCTACCGGCATTCAAAATCAGACAGAATCCTTTTTCAAGTAACCCAAGGCCGCAATAGTTTTACAGCTTTTGATAATGGACACCGCATGATGCTTGGACCGTCAACAATGTACGTGGAGCGTAAGTTCCCCATGCAGTACATCATCGAGAACATTGAAGAAATTCCCCATGAGTTTCCTTTGAGTTTTGTTAATGAAAGAATGTCCTTCGTGGGATTTATTTCTAGGTATCACCATTATAGAGGGCACCACTGTATATATAAACAAGTAGGTACGATTACTCTGTAAAAATGTATGTAGAAGAAAAGTGAAGAAAAAAAATAATCATTATAATTTAAAAATATTCACAATGGAAAAAAAATTAATGATAAACTAAGTTAATAATAAGTATTTCAATATTGTAGGAAAGAAATGATGCTGAAATATACGTTGGATTTTACCTTGATTACGATAATCCTTATTCATACTTTACCTGGGGAGATGTGCGTCTTGGGAAGTTCATCTGCCTTCACGATCCCAGAATTCACTATTTTCTAGATGCATCTGTCGGAAAACGTGTCAAAGAAAGCAGCGAGGCCTTCTTTTTGATGTCTGAATTCCTTGACTCTTTGATTAGACTTTGTGCTTGCTTTATAAAATACATAAGTGTATATACTCTTTTAGTGTCTGGTTGTGATGGTTTCCTTAAATAATGCATGTATAAGTTAAATTAAATAATGTTTTTGATTCTCTTGTCCACATCTAGATGTGGTTATTTTACTTTTGTCTATATTGATTATACAATACATCCTGAGGGAAAATCGAGAAACAAATAAGTGATTCAATGAATTTCACTTTACTGATATGGTACGATATACATTTACCTGAGATCATATGAATTATCTATATTTTCCATTCAATGTAGTATATGAGAAGGCATATGCTACTATCAGAAATCATTAACATAATTATGTAATACAAATCGTGGTGTACGTGATTTGATAAGGAGGTTTGGATGCTTGCTTAAAATGTTGTATTTGTTTACATTTTTGAATAAAAGATATGATAGAAATTTTACATGTCAGATTGATGTAGTTTTTGATTAAACTTTCATTATTTCTTAGACGGTGTATAAATATCTCTTATATAATATGTATATATAGTGAGAAGTCATATTAGTGTACTTTTTAAATCCTTCAAGGTGCCTCCTTGTATTGTTTTTTTTTACTGTAAAGTGTAAGTATTTAAAACATATACATGAACAACTGTTCAGAATTAAAAAATCATAATGGAGACTTTCATTGATTAATAGAAGATATGTAAGAAAGACAATACTCTGTTTCTCCTGCAGTTGTGTTCATCCATACTCAAACATGATTTAGAGAAGAATTTTCAACCACATGTTATAAAAGGGGAAATATATGCAAGTGATCTAGAAAGAGGCATATTTGATGCAAAGAAATGTATTTGTGTAAGTAGTCCTTTTAGAAAAGGTGCAAAAATTTATGGTAAATTCTAAACAATGAATCTATTTCCAATTTCTTCACAAAAGCAGAGTTTCCTTTTTCCTTTTTCTAATTTCTTCTCGAAAGCAGAGCAATCTGTTTTTGAACTTTGAGATCTGTCAAAGTTTTGCTCAGCAGAGAAAGGGAACAGACCAATCCAAGGGGGAGGTTTGTAAATCTTCCAGGATTACTAGTATATTCTCAGCTGCAAACAGAATGCCAAATAGTATGTTATTTTTCATCTTGTTAAACCCGAAAACATTATTTTCATCTATAATGCTAACTTGTATTTACATATAAATACAGTATATTAGCTCCAATGGTCAATAAACAGAAAAGCTTTTGCGATGTTAAAAGTAAGTATCCATCGTTTACGTGTTTGTTTATCAGAATTTTTTTTCTCAAAATACAAGCTTCAACCAATAAAAATGTTTTTTTCAATCACGACAATGTCTGACATCGTACAAAATAAAAATCGTGTCGAACTGTCAAACAAAGTTGTCGTACAATATGGATAACAATCAAACTCAATAATTGAAATGTGAAAGGACAAAATAACCAATAAATATGGATTACACAAGAAGTATCTATAGTAAGTAAGTAAACAATTTATGTCTGAAACTTGTGAATTTCACAGAAGTAAATTTGGTGATTATGCAGACGATATCACGGATGGATAAAAATATGGTTCAAATTGTAGACACCTGTAATCGGGAATAATAATTACAAAAATGAATTTTAGAAATCACAGTAATAATTAACATAATTAATAGCAAGTAATGCCTGCGATGTAACATGAACAACATGAAGTGAAATACGAAACTAATCTACTTAACCTGCACCGATAAAGATGACAGACAGGATGTAAACAAGTTGCATGGTAGCAGATGATTTAAAGTGTTGCAGCTAATATACACACGTAGAACTGCTAAGATGATGACAGTTTACTCAAGAAATACTTAAAAGTCTTATACCTTTTCGCACCGCTAATTTATTAAAACACTTTGTGGCTGTCAGTAACATGCATTTTTATTAATTCACAATTACCATTCCTGGGTACAATGAATTAAAATCTGGTGCAGATTTTTAATGCTTAAAAGAGCCGAGACTACATTCATTGAATTTGACATTGAAACGAAACGATAAATTTATGACGTATTCAGAACAATCGTATTCTGTACATAAACTGACAATGCATATTTCATAGCGGCATGTTTTTTTAATGTACACTCATTACTGTATGCATAAATTTTAATTTGAATGAAAATTTAATTGACAGGTCATTTCTAGCGGTCAATAATTATAATGACCGGTCATTTTAATCCATCGTATTCATAACACCTGACTGCTGTTAGCTGGTTTCTGGAGCGTGTAGTACGTATATATCTTACGTTGTCCTTTTTGTTTTAGTTTTATCTCATTGAACGTGCATTTGTGTTTATTTCACAATACATTTAACTGTGCAATTGATACCAAATGTCTTTGGTAACCCCTTTCCTGACCAAGCAGAGGCATTCAGAAGTCACTGTGTCGCGCCAAAGTATATTAAAATGGCAATGAAGGAGGTGTCCACTCAGGAGAAATCTGTGAAGCAAAATACAGTGAACCATGAACAGAGCTGAGATTTACATAGGGGCTAGAGAAGAACACAATTGAGTAGAAAAATATGGCGGACAAAAGATAAATCTCTACATTTTAGGAATCATGTTCATCATTAATATTTATTACATTTTCATTATGGGTATGTAATATATCAAAAACTGAAGTTTTATTCAGATGTATAGGAGGACTTGAAGATAGGAGATGGATACCCCCGATTTCTTAAAACAGAATGGCAGTGTCCATGTTTTGTCATGGGAAACCCAAAATATGTGTAAGATCAAAAGGAAAAAAAATAGGAGGTCACAATAGCACTATGTAACAAAGATTCTGTGAAGGTCTCTGAACTGAGGGGTATATTCTCTAACAATTCCAACGACAAGGAAGTTATTTCTATTCTGCTACGGCGAATCTTTTTAACACCTATATAGAGAAACAGAGAAGAAGATGTCGACGTCAACATAAGTAGGTCACCATTGACTGCTTCTTCTCGTTTATTTGCGCTTCACGCATTAGAAAACGCACTAGGTAATCCAAATCTCAGGTAAACTTTTTCCCACTAATCTGCGTCACAATTAAAAGAGGCCTCAATCATTTTCCTAGTAAAAGAAGTCAAAATTAGAGGAAACCGATTTAAAATGATTGATAATTTGTTGATGACGTTTGTGATTTATTGGAGAATAATGGCCGCGGCATTTCTTTGATCTTTGCAATAACCGTAGAAGAATTTAAAATAAAAAACTGTTTAAAACTGCATTTTATCAAATAATCGATTAACAAAAACTTCTACAAAAACCGATTTATAATTCCAGCATATGTAGAATACTTGTATTGCAACTAGATTTAAGTTGTTTTAATTATTAAGGTCGTCCGTTTTCAGCGAAAGACTCTCCTGTTATTATACTGTTTCTTCTGCTTCTTATCTCAGTAACGGTTCCAAGAAATATCATGATACTTTCAGAGATGATAGGGGTAAAAATTTTGGAGATCTAATCTTTTCAATTTTGATGATGTCACCTCCAGTCACAAAATATGATCTATTTTCAACATTTTGCTGCAATTTTTTTAAGTTCTACTTCGACGAAATTACTCAAGAGAGTAATTTGAAATGTTCAGATATGATGGATTGTTACTTGTAGCAACAAGTACAAGTATTTGTTATTGGCATTCTATAAATAGTATATAACTCTTCGTTAATAGTGAGATATTTTCAATTGTCACTCACTTGATTTTTTCGCTTTACCTTCTTGCAATTGACGGACAATTCCAAGTATTTTTGAGTCTTTAGATTGTTCTTCAGTTACATTTACTTTGGTATATTTGCCTGATTTGATTTGCAGTTTAAAGGGATGCCAGCGTCTATGTCATAGCGGATATAATATTTATAATTAGGATTTATCGCGTTTGAATGAAATTAATTTCCGGATCATTTTGTTCTTTTTATTTCAATTTCTCTCTTCGAGCTTCTAACAAATTCTTAAATGGTTTATGGAGAGTACAGATGAAAAATTGTAAGAAGTGTTCAAATTTCTGTTGTATGAAATGAATTGCAAATGCTTCTTTTCTTCTGTAGACAACGAGTTTGCGCGTTACTTAATTTACAAGAAAGGTATCATATAGGTTTTTAATCTCTGATACCCAATAATTTTACTTCATTTCCTTGTTCGTTTTCATCTAATGCTAGAACTAAACATGCGCTTATTGCTTTTTCAGAAGCTTTTGTATAAAGAATATAATTATTCTTTATTTGAGTCCGGTATTGATGAGAGTGGTACTTTTGGTATACTTTCGTTTAGGTGATCGAAAGCCTGTTGACAATCGTCATTTCATTTAAACATTACATATTTTTTTGTTAATGGTACCAAATACTCGACAATCTTTGAAATTTTGATATAACTTAACAGTGATAAATATAAAACTGGATATTTCTTTTACAAAACAAAGTGAGAAGTGTAATAAACATGTAATATTTTTTTTAATAACAAATTATCAATTTGATAAAACAAGTTAATAATTTGATATAAAAGATTGGCATTTTGTTTAAACAAATTATTAATTTGTTATAACAGGTAAGTAATTGGTTATAACAAACTATTAACTTTACTTTTTCCATTATAAATTAATTCTGCAAATTCGGGGGGGGGGGGGGGGGGGTCCGGACTCTCGACTCAGACCACCCTCTAGATCCTCAAGTGCTTTGGACATTTTTAGGGTAATGGATAATAACGTTGACCAAACTTTTGAATGGTTCGTGCTTGGGTTTCATATTTACTACATATTCCATTGACGCAAGCCCTTTCATTTGGGTAAAAACATTTTGGCATGCATTTTGGAAAACTTAAACCTTCGCCATAAGCTGCTATCCGGGGCATCAGTGTTTCACAAACACATCTTGTTTTTATTATTTTTCATATGGAATTCATTCTGACTAAGTGCTAGAAAACTAATTTATGAAAGTAAAAAATAAAAATATCATTGGACCCTCAGTGTATATTTGTTGGGGGGAGGGGGGTGGGGGGATGGGGGTTTCCAGTCCACAAGCACCTGAGGTCCTGACGACTGATAACTCACACGGCTGGAGCTTAACAAGTTAATCAGTTGTCTTAGTTCGTATCTGTTACGATCTTTTTTATCATCTGTTAACCAAAATAACCTGAAATATTCTTCGAAGAAGGATATGAAGCAGAGCATCTGGTTCATTTGTACTTAAACTTGACATTCATTATTGTTTTCAAATTTGAACACCTTTGTACTCAAGTACATGGAGTACAAGGATTTTTACTAAGACAAATGTTCTATTTGATCGTTTTAAGCCGAACAAATGTAGATACTGCTGTGAAATCCCGGGACAAAACAGAATAATTTAAATAAAATGTTATTAGGATGCAGACATTTGAAACAAAGTCCTATTTTATTTTAGTCACGAAATGGAAAAATAACAAATGGCATATTTAAGTTAGACACAATAGAAAATGCAGAATAATATTATACCCTCTTGTTAAACACTGAATCAGATGTGTTTTTTGCAGCCAAGTAAGCCTGACGAAAAAAAAAACGCTTTCGTATACAATAAAATGTTGGAGAGAAAATATTTAATGAAGCTTCATACAAAGAAATAAAGATCTCAAAACATGCCAAAAGAAAAAAAATGACTTTACGGGTGTAACCCTAGCCCTGCGATACCAACATTCAAAGCAACGACGAAAAGCATGAAAAACATGCTAATTTCGTCGCATCTTTCTACATTCAAGCATGGGTTACAATCACATTTTTTTCCTTGTGCTATTTCACCTTTATTGGCATGAATTTTCCTCGCTTCTCTCTCACTCCTCCATCTTTGAATCATTAGAATTCCAAACGCAAGGTGACAGAAAATCGCTAAAGAAATCATAATAATCAAGGGCCAAAAGTAATTATTTTCAGAGCTTCCTCCTATTACAACTCTCAGCTGTGATACATTGGCAGCCAATAGCGAGGCGTCCAATAGCTGTCGAACGAATTTCTGGCTATCTGAAAATGGATTTCTAGATGGATTCTAAAAAAATATAAAAAATCCCTTCATGAGTGTTTCTATGTCAATCGTTAATATTTGTTGATATATACAGCATATACTTCACGACTGAATTAATTTTTTAAAATTGCATTTAGATATAGCTTTTCACATAAGTGAAACGTTGATGTTGAAATATTTTCCAGTTTAAAAGTTATTTTTGTCATAGAAAAAAAAATCTATAATTTTAGATGCTTAAATAATTACTACTCAAATTATCCGGGGAAAGATCGGTATACATGTTTTTTTTATTAGAAAGGAGAGCGTTTTGCTAACCTTACCGTGTCATTTGCCAGGCGATCTACTTCGTCTCCATTTCTAGATTCATTTTTCATTTCACAAGACTTCTCTTGTTTTTTTTTCATCTGATTTTTTATGTGGCTGGAAAAGACATTTATCTGAAATTACAATAATTATTAAATGCGAAGATAACGAACAGTGAATCATGTTCAAAAGTCTATTCAAACAATACAAATTGTGAGCAGAGCAAACACGGATCTCTGAAAACAGAGGTGGAATCAGGTGCCATAAAGGAGTTATCCTCTCATGTCTACCGGGCAGATCCGCCGTGTACTCTCTCATTTTCGGGTAAACGGAACAATCCATAGACAATTGATTGTGAAAGTAAAGCCTAACAAATTACTAGTATGCTTCATTTTTGAAATTATTTGTATTTAGAACATGTTCGTGCGTCTCGATTGCATTGGGATACATATATATATATATATATATATATAACTTAGGAATGGAAAATCAAAATTAATCACATTTATTTTAGTGTAGGTCCAGGATTTTTCAGAATCATGTAATTGGTACAATTAACATAAAACATATATAACCATGATATAAAGTCTTACATCCTGGATTTGAGTTGTTTCGGAATCCTCTTTTCCTTCTTTATTATGCAATTTATCTTCATTGCTTCTTTCAGACATTTTGAGTGTTTTTCAACAGATGCAATTACTCGTTTAACTCTCTGTAGAAAATAATACGAAATATCAATAGATACGTTGTTTTTTTCTATTCATTTCAATATGCTCCTGTAGAGGATTTGACTTTAAGTATGTTTTATGATACAAGGCTTAGTGTACTAAAACAAAGACCTTTTAATGCAAACAAAATATTTAAATGTACAATATTTTGTGCTCTAAATATTTTATAGCAATAGTACTGAACTTAAAGACACTTTTGAAAGAAATGTCGTTCTTTATTTTCTGTAGAGAGGGGGCTCGGAGATGGAGGTATTTTACTAATTTTAGGAAAAAATTATTCACTTTACATTACCTTAAAGAAGAACATAAGTTTTATTTTAAGGAAAAATCTGCATATCAATAGGTCAATAATTCTTAGCAAAATCATGTCATGCAAAATTCTACAGAAATTAAAAAGTTGACAAGATAATGACCAATGATCAATCATATATCGAATACAGAACATGAATTGTGTATAGGTTAAAAACACGTGCCTCTGGAAACATGAGAGGAAAGATCAAGTGCCTTGAAGGAGTAAGCATCCCCTGTAGACATAAGACAGGTAATCCGATTACCTCTGTAATAATCAGAAAAATGGAGTTTTCCATACTCGAAATAATTTTAAAATAAATTGCCTAACAAAATACGATACAACGCTAAGTGTATTTGCAAACAAAGTCAGCATATAGACAATAGATTTTTTAAAATGCTGAATATAAATAAGATAGTAAAACTCCCTGTTACATCAGCTTATTTGTCTTACTCTGTTCCCTTTCTCATTTTTGTCTATTACTGTATTTAAATGGAAAGAACTTATAACTAGAAATAGATTTTTAGATTCGATATATGTATTGAATTTAGGAAAACAACTATATGAAATACATGTAAGTATGCCGGACTGCTTCTATATATATGTTTTTCCCATCTTTAGCTTTAGCACTTTCATTTAAAATCTTCAAAAGCATGTAAAGCTAAAGCTTTACTGAAGATTTTTGTGTTTTTTAAAAATATTTTTTAATATTGTAATCCGATTTTTTTCAGGTTTGGAGATATATATATATATATATATATATATATATATATATATATATATATATATATATATATATATATATCTCTTAATGTAAACTATGCAAAAAGCTTCAGGTGAACCACAGTATCCATTTACTTTGAGGAAAAGACAATTTCTCTTATTTTTCAATCGAAGCAATTCATAAAAAATATGAGCACGTGTTCAAACGGAAAATTTCATGTGAATTAGTTTATTCGAATTAATTAAAAGCGCATCAAATTACTTAGCATTATCTCCACCATTCACAATAATTTAATTCGCATTATTTTTCTTCAAATGAATTTACTGTGAAATTCGTGTGAACAGGGCATTACTGCGCATCAAATTGCTCTGCATTAACTCCGTGTGAATAAATTCTCCGTATAAACGCGGTAACCCAAAGTTTTACAAAACACATAAAGGCGAGAAGAAATCAATCTAACTAATGTAGGTAACCTATTTAATGTAGGGTAGATTGCAAATGCGTTATCTACTTGGAATCTATGCAAAACGTCTCAGGTGAGCATCTGACGTCTTTATTTTTAGAGGTCACCTTAGATATTATTGAAAATGCTACAAACAGGTATAACGAGAATAATCTAATGGTTGGTTTGAAAGTATTTCCGCACTAGAAGACCCAAGAAACACATAAATGGTTTTAGAAAATATAGATACTTCCATGTGCCTGTTCTCTTTTTTTTTTTTAATTTCAGTTCTTTATTAGGGAGAAGTGACATTTTGAGAAAAAGCTAATAGAATGATAATCAGTGAAGTATACTTTATCAAAACTTTATAAGCTGAAAGAAATATGTAATCATAATTAAGCCATGTAGCATGCATACATTGTAGATACTGTAGCACAAACTGTTATAAGTTTTGAGAAGCCTGTAAGTTCTCCCAGAGTATAACAAATTTGTGTAAGCTTCGAAGATAAAGGACACGTCTCTCTACTTATCTCTCTACTGATATTATCAGTGTCTTCTTCATTAAAATAAATCATGCTAATTAAACTTGTCATTTCACTTGCATTAAAATAGAAATTCATTAAACAAAAAACCCAGTTGCTATGACAACCATACTATCGTAGTTCAGGAACAGCCCCTATTTTATTGATATTATCAATATACAAAACTAGAGATTCAGTGCTTGAACAACTTCTAATAATGCACTTACCCTCACATACACAGACGAACACTGATAAAATACAAAAAAATTACTGCGGTAACAGAAGTTGTTTTGTACTATGTTGTTTCCATGGACACAAACAATAAATGGATGTATAAGCAATAACTGCCCATATAAAATTCAATGGAAATTCCCTTTCCCTTTCTTTTTTTGCAGTTATATATATATATATATATAGTGTGTGACCCACCCCCACCCCCACCCACCCAAAAGCTGTTTGCCTCACATTTTGCCATAAAAATATGATTAGGGAATCTTAGGGATGGAGGACAGAAAGGAGAATAGAACAACCAAAGATGCACATGACATATAATTTGTCATGTGTATCTTTCGTTGTTCCATTCTCCTTTCTGCCCTCCATCAGTTTACATTTTTGCTCATGTAAAAAGAAACTGTTGAAGATCTAATTATCTATCATCATACACTGATTAAATTAATTTTGATAATTAATCACAGTACAAACATTTCAATATTTTGTGATGTTGACCCTCCCTTTTCATTGCATTGCTATAACATTTCCTAATGTTGATTATACGCATTTACACTGATATTGACCTTGACCTGATTTTGCATTGACCTTGATAACTTGAATTTCATACAGAGCTTCAACCATGCTAATGTTCAATTCTGAAATCATTACTCATGACTTTGACCTGACCTGATCTATTTTTCTACTGGCCAGAGACTACTCTCCCTGCAGCAGGTTTAGTTAGACTTCAATAAAACGAAGTATACAAGTAAACTAAATCAAGAATCATTTTATTTATAAGAAGCCAAATTTTGAGTCAAGGAGCTACATTGTAATTTTCTCCTTTTTTTATTATAATAACAAACAAGTAGTCCTGATAGAGATATATTGTACATGTAATTTGATTTCAGTTAAAATTATTACAGTTATGTTAAAAAAAAACTACATATTCTTGTTGACATGCCAAGAAACAAGAAACAGAAAAATATGAAACTCTGACTTTAATGAAAAATTAATCTCATGAACTAGAAGGTACTCTGCCTACCCAAACTTTCTGATTATGTCTTTTTTAAAACTGTCATACTAAAAAAGATTAACAACAACAAAAACCTGTATTAATATACTTGTACTTGATAAATCTGACAAACTTATAAGTTCATATTTTGATCTAATTGACAAATTATGAAATTTCACTGAGTAAAGATTTTGTTTAGTTGACCACTTGAAATACATGTACCGACATGTATTTACTAAATAATAAAGAATTTTATTAACTTAAGTGTGATGGAGTTATTGGAGTACTGTTTTAATAATGAAAATTTTTTAATATATAGATCTATAGTTACTTTCTTACTTTATTGCAATTATATAATGTATTCAGAGATTATAAAACAAATTTCTAAGTTTTTCCAGTTTTATATAATTAGTTCTTAAATGAGAGAGCACATGTCACTACCCTCTCCCCCAAAAAAATATCCAGACAAACAAACAAAATTAAGCCCTGAACATACTGAAACCTACAAAACTTGAAATGATGTGTTTTGTTTTACATGTGTATACAGTCCACTTGGATCAACATGTAAAAACAGTCAATGATTGAATGAATGCAAGACAGTAACTTGTTAACCCCCTCCCTCCCCCTCCCTTATGCAAACAGTAACACACACTGAAATTTAATGTAACTTTAAAAACCAATGTCATATTTTATCATATATGATGTATGGTTGACATAAATTTTATCAACAGATATAATTTATTATATGCAGTTTGAAAATTTGACGATTTGACGAATATTAATTAATTTTTTTTAATAATTGAATTCAAATATCAATGATGTTTTCTTGATATTATGGTGTTTCTCTCTCTTATAGATATTCAAACACTGTTATTAATTAATTTACTTATAATTATGAAACATGCATGAGTTACAGTGCTTAAATATTGACAAAGGTAAATAATATAATTTTACAGGTTTTTGTACATTTGAAACAATCCGGGAAAAGTTATTCCGGTACAAGCGGTATTTTAGTCATGTTTCCGCTAGATGGCGTTGTTGGCCACATAGGGTATAAATACAAGTGAAGCGGCAGAGCTGTATTAATTGCGAAGTTGATGCTGAAGTGGCAACACAAGCGGCGGACCATTAATGATCAGAGGTAACTTTTAGTTAATGATAATAAATAAATATTTAAAGCGTTAGACGTGACTGAACAAGTCTTTCCTGGCTTTAAATATTATTTATTACCAAGAAAGCTACCGAGGGAGCCAGTAAGAGCCGAGCTGTAAGAGCCGGTTATCATAAGAGCTGAGCTGTAAGAGCCAGTAACCATAAGAGCTGAGCTGTAAGAGCCAGTAACCATAAGAGCCGTGCTGTAAGAGCTAGTAACCAGAAGAGCCGAGCTGTAAGAGCCGATCGCTTAGGAGTCAGCGTCACTTTGATTTATTGTACCTAATTGATTAAAGACAAGTAGTCTAAACATTTATCTGTATATATTGCTTAATCACATATTTGTATATTTTGATCCTGCCAGGTCCTCAGAAAGTTAACTGGGGGAATTCAGCCGCCTCTGCTATTTGTTATTATATTATTAGATTTCACGCTACACATTGATACTGTACTTGCCTAGTGATCTTATTACTGCTAGGTACATGTATCTTTCAACATCACGGCCTTATCACCGAAAGCAACTTGATTGTAGCTCTGAAATCCATGTATAACTGATTCTGCTTTCTTATAAACATTTTGTTTGCAATGTTCATGCAGTACATCGGTACGTGTCACACTTGGAATTTTCATTTTC